GGATCTACACTCACTGATGCTGAATACTGATCATCACGAAGTATAAACATATTCCTCAGCTCAGTTATATTCTGAACTGTATTCAGATCCAGACAGATCATTCCGATTACATTTTCATGCGTTTTTTGCATCCATGCAATGTAAAAACGCATATTGTCGAGAGGTTGTCTGTCTGTGTGTGCGCTTGTACCGAATTTCCATCTTGAGACCTATAAAAGCTACAGGGCTACATACACGTACGGGCCCTAGTCTCCGAAACGGGGCTCCTACCCGCGTGCTTTACCCGTACGGGCCTGCTAAAGTTTTTGGTGGATAAACTGAAAACTGTTGGAATCCCGGGGAACTAAACCTAAAACTGAAAACCGAAACCCGGGAAACTGAATTTTTTGATTTTGAGTTTTGTTTTTTTTCTGGATTTTTGTTTTTTTGGAAGATTTTTGGAACAAAATGAAATTGGAACAAAACAAAATTGGAACAAAAAAATGAGAAAAAAATTTTTTTTGGAATTTTGAGAGGATGTTTTCAGGCAATTCTGGTTACCGGTCTCAGTTCTCTTAGCTAGAAGATCTGCCGGAAAAAACAGTGCCGTTGGCAGCAAAAAGCTGCGAGGAACTATACAAGGAACGCATCTTCGCATCGGCAGTCGTTGTACTGGCCATTTATTCATTCCGAAATGGGTGGCATTGCTGAGACACGACTTCCCTGACAGTCCACGTGAAGCCTTCAGCACTGCTGAGATACTCCTCAGACCACTTTGAAACGGCGGCGGAATATGGGAGGTTTGATCTCCCGCCAAAGTTTGTTTACGGGTTGGTCATGCTGTTCTTTTCCGATATGCTGTTTTCCTGGATTTGTCAGCGTTAAACTTATCCAGGCAGTATTATTATTTTCTGAACTTTGGCTTGCCAATTATTGCGAGTTCTCAACTTCGACATTTATATGCACGTCGAAGTTGAGTTTGAAATTTTTATTTCCCAGAAGGTGTAAAACATTCCTGTGCCTTCCATCTTCTCTGCTTCATGAGATCGCTTTCCCGTCAAAAATTTCTTTTAGGTGTTCGTGCATGAGATTCAAGCTACGCGAGCTCCCCGCTTGGCACTATCTTCGGTGCGAGTCGTACGGCCACCGAGTGGCTACACTTAAATCGCCTGGTGATTTAAAGTGGAAGCCGAGTCACCAGGACCCTATGGACCACCTGGCCCAGCTGGACCTGCCAGATCAGGAGGGAGGGGGGAGGGGGAGAGGTTGCGTACGGTCAGATGGTATGGACTTGAACGCATGCATTTTTGCCTACTTTCAATTCACAATAAAACCTAGGCTGCAATGCACCAGCCTTGCCGGTGCGATCATGCGTTTTTGCAGCGGACTTGAAGTAATCAGATCGTTAACTGCATGTATGATTGTTGTTTTACACCACAAATTGGCAACCGACGGCCTACGAGCCGGATCTGGCCGCGACTGGTTTTAATCCGGCTCGGAAGGAATCGGAATGAACGGGAGGTTTGTACTCCTCCGCGTTTGTACTCGTTTGTGCTCATGAGTATAAATAAATAGCAACGCGCACCAGAGCAGCCGGTGCGATCACATGTTTTGCGCAGATCCATTCAACGAACATTTGCCTGCTAAGGGTTTTCACTGTATTGAGCTCTGTTCTGTGCAAAAATAGTGGAATTGTTGCCTGACCCCTAAGTTACGGATTTTCTCATGGAAAATTTCACGTACCGCTACGTAAAAGCTGAATTTGAAGCTTTGGACAGTAAAATTCTTTCCAAATCTTAACTTTCCATTTTTATGACTTTCGAGTGGTTTTCGCATCAAAACTTTTACATGGTCGTACTTGAGACCTGGGCATACTTGAGAACTAAGTTTCAGTTTACATGGGTAAAAACATCCTCCAGAATCAGCAGTTTTTTGCCTCAGTATCAGTCAACTTTGTTCACCTGCCATCTTACAAAGTGGCCAAGTGGCTAACTCAGCTCTATATTTCCGCACAATCTCCAACAGATGTTTCCAATTTTGTCCGATACAATTTTACAAATTAAGTTCTCCAAATGATGATTGAAATTGATAGAATACCGATTCTAAGACTTTTATTTCACTACTTTCTTAAATATTTTTTTCTTGTTTTCAGCACTACCAGCATCAGCTGGTGGACCAGGGCCAGGCGGAACAAGAGGAGTTGCCGGAGGAAGAACATCAGGACCTGAGGGACCACCAGGAGGAGCTGGGCCGCCAGGCGAAGCAGCTGCACTTGGCCAGAGGGGCTGGCTGGGTCATCTAAACCAGCCGGACAGACAGGATCAGCCGGTGCTGCTGGCGAGCTTGGAACTGTGCGTTTATTTCTATTCCGCTTTTTGGGTTTTTCGGTGTATAAAAAATTAAAGCACACATTTTTGGAAGCATATAGCCCTTTGAAATAGCCGCATGCGGTTAAAATTCAGTTCACTCCTGTGGGTAATATGAAGCAGGCCAGTCTGCCGTTTCTTTTTTTGTTAGCATCTTCTAAAGCTATTAAGACTTCTTAAGCTAGCGGTGTGAGTCTGCGATGGATTTAGACAATGATAATGAAATGTTAACTTGAAGAAGTATGAGGTTGGCAAAGGTGGAATTACGGGGCAAAGATGCTGCATACTGTTCATGTCCATTACAATTATCGCTGACTGTGAAAGCGCCCACAATCGGATGCGGTCAAGTCCGTGGAAATGCAATTGCAGATGTTGAAGGTATTCAACGCCGTCATGGCGCCGCAAAATGATATCGACAGATCTAAGAGATCCCCGACAATATTTTGAAGTAGCATGAAAGAGAAAAGCTTTAATTATTTTGACAAGGATACACATTATTGACGTAGTTATTATGTGTTTTTGCTGTGCAGCGCTATAGCGCCGCTAAAGCCGGCAAAAAC